TTTGTTGTTTTTTTAGTTGTTTTTCAGTACCGTATTGAAATAGTAACTTTGTTATAAAAAAAAGTACCAAAAAATGATTGTAATCTTGCATGATTGTGTAATTTTTTGTGACGTGCTGTTCCTTTAATATTTTTTTTCTCTTTAATGTTTAGTATCGTTCGATGGCATGACCAACAAATATTATTGATAAACATTTGTTGATAAACATTGAGAATTGCCAAATTTCAAGTCCTACTACGTTAAAAATCTCTGTATATCATTTTATTTAATAACTTGCGTTAACTTTTTCCCGAAAATAAGACTCACGAAAAAAGATTATTGTATAAGTCATTTTCTTATTAGCAGCTTTAATGAGGAGATAAGTTTGTTCTAAGGTTGTACTAGTTTGACCTTGGAATTGTCGTTTTAAGTCATTGATAAAAATTTCCTAAATATTAATTTCGACGTAAAATCTGAAAATGTTTCTGAATCCACAAAAAAATAGGGTTATCCGTATGAAACAAAATACAATTTGATCCTCAAATGACTTTAAAAGACAAATTTAAGGTCAAACTTGATTCCACCATTTGATATCTTTTTTTGAACCTAACAACTTTTATAAAGGTCCTGTTTTCATTGCTTTTTCACAGACTTGATCCCTTGGATGTTTAAAAATGAGACACCCAAAATTCCAAAGTCTCTTTTTTTTCATTTTACAATTTTTTATCGAAAACTAATCTTATTAAAAATATTAACGCGTTGAATTTCAAGATAAATTATTGAAACGTGATATTTTTTATAATTTTAGCAATACTTCTGACAAAATAATTATTTACTATAAGCTGATCTTCACGTGTCTGTATGCCAGCACTATGAACAAAGAATTGCGTAGAGTAAATTAAAAATTGCTGTTAAATTTGTTGCTTTTAAATAAATTGAAAAGTGCTATTAAATACCATAAAGTATTATTGTACTAGTTGAATAAAGATACTTGATTCAAAGGTGGCTAGCATGACATGGAACATTAAAATTAGCCAGAATCAGCAAAAATCTATTTATACAGGATCTATTTACTTATTACTCAGTAAACTTATTTATAATATTATGTTATATAATAATTAAATAGGAAAGTAATTTTGAAAAGCTACATTAAACTCCATGACCCGATGAGTGTAAGATCTCCTTGGTAGTTGAAACAACTAAGAATTAGTATTACATTTTCCAATATTTCAAAGAAACTTGCTTTTTTATGAATGTGTGAGGGAATACATTTACTTGTTGAGCTCAATTATTTGAACTTAGGACACATCACGTTAGTGAATTTTTTTAGTTGAATCGTCCATTGAATCACATGTGCAATATGAGTCAGAAGAAGCTACTGAAGATACTCGTGGAAATTTAACTTTCCAGGAGAATGAAGTATTAGAAAAGTAAAATTGTGGAGAGAGCGTTAATAAATATACACAAGGTAAAGTTAATATAATGTTTATCAGTATCATCATTATTTGTGAAAATATTGTTAAATAAATGGATAATATTTCAATATAAAAAGTTTCCCAAACTTTTCAGATAACTATATAGTGATTATATTCTGCACATATTTGTGCATATTGTTGCCATTTCTGATTTTTTTCTGTGTTTTATAACGTTAACGGGTTGTGATTATTATTACTGTTGACCGACAATTATTAAGAATAATTTTTTGAAGCGCGAGGATTTTCAGCTATAGTGAGTTATTATAGGCTATAATATTGATCATTCAGTCTAAGAGTAATACAGATACTTACCTGCCCGTGCCAAAAATATAATTTTCTCCCCACAAAAAAGAAACAGTATACCATTGTTCTATATGGAAATGTTTCCCTGAATCTTTTTGAATAATCATAGGGAAATTTTTTTGTATTCCTTTACATATGGTTTTCAAAATGGATTTATCATATGTATTTCACTCAGGAAAAGTAGCATAAAAAACTTTTTTTTTTTTGAAATATCTTCTTAATTTTTCATCGAACCATTGGTACAAATTGTATTAGACTCAATAGGTTTCAACTTTTCAGAAGTCCTAGCTTCTTTTTAAAAATGTTTTTTAAACTCTGTAAGGGAGAGAAATTTTTGAGTATAAGTAATAATGTATTTAATAATAACAACATGATTTAAATAATCGTATTTGCATAGAGAAAATTGTCTACTTAATAATACATCTTATGAATGTATATTGTGTTCATCTATTGTACCAATTTTAACATTAATTTAAAACANTCATCGAACCATTGGTACAAATTGTATTAGACTCAATAGGTTTCAACTTTTCAGAAGTCCTAGCTTCTTTTTAAAAATGTTTTTTAAACTCTGTAAGAGCTCGATTTTTTTTATAAGAATCAAAATTTTTTGCAAAGTATTTTTCATGTATATTTCAAATTATATCTCTAATAATATTTTTAGAATAAGAGCATCGTTGGCTCAGTGGTAAGCGTGCTTGTTACTGATATAGCGCTGTTCTCGAAGTCGTAGGTTCGATTTCCGGTGAATGCAGATTTTTTCAAAAACTGTTTTCATCGGGAAAAATTCCTATGTAACCCCGGCTGTTTTGGGGCCGGTTTTTCCGTGAAATTTTCCCTCAGAGTAATTCCGGGGTTTTTTCCTTGCCCCACAGGTTTTCGGGCCTTGGCGCATGCGAAACAGTGTTAGGAGGTAGGGATTAGCGGATCCGATGCGCCAGGCAGGGATCGCCGGCCTTACCGGCGAGGAGTGGTCCCTGAAACATAGGACTTCTCCGGGGATGCTAATTAGTCTGAATCCGATGCTTCGGCAGAGAGCGCCGACTTAACCAGTGAGGAGTGAACGTCCTGAAATATGGAGTTCTCTCCAGGGAAAGGCTACACAGTGGCAAGTAGACCCAATGCGCCATTGGTGCAGAGAGTGTCAGCTTAACTGGTAAGGTGTTTCATCGGAGATACTCGCACTGTTCCCATGGATTAGGTATAATATCAGTAAAAGGGTTGGAAATGGGTGCGGCAATACACCCCCACACATACATGGTAAGTGGGTGGTCCCGGCGACTTGGCCTAAGAGCTGTCGCGGTAACCAGAAAAAAAAAAATGTTTGGACTGTAAGAACTGAGAAAATTTTTTTTTCAATTGAAATATTATGAAACTTTCAGCTTTATTGAAAACATCTAACTTTGACGTTGACGTTGCTTGTCTTACTTTCTTTTAAAACAATTTGAAAAAAATGTCCTTGACAGAAATATTGACGTATTGAGCAATTTATCCAAACATGTCTTCGTTGTTTGATTAAAACTACACAGTTAGTAGTGGCTATTTAAATGACTTTTGAATGGAATTTTTTTCGAACAAATATTTTTTCTACTTTCACTAGGGATTTAGCATTAGAAAAAAATTTAGCATTAACACACCTATTCTTTTAATTAAAATTTTTTTAAATTCTAATAAATGCTGTATCACTTCCTTTATGACTGTAATTATTTATCTTACGCTCTCAATTTATGGGTAATACTTAATATTGGTGAGTTATTTATTCTGCAATATCAAAAATTAATTATACGGACCATTAAATTGTTTCTTAACTGAAATCTCTTCGTTTACTATTTTATGTGCATATATTAAGTAGATATTTAGAAATAAATCAATACTTTTGAAAAAAATTAAAAATTAACCTTTTGTTTTTAAGAGACCTCGTATTTCGTTTTTTTTATTAAACAAGGGCTATTATTATCATGCAAGCTACGAAGCATGTGTTTGACTACAAATTTCAAAAGTTGATTATTATCAGAAGGTACCTCGGAAAAAATATATTTATTCACATTTGCAGGTTTACTTTATCAGGATTTAGTTTATGTAGAGCCATTAACGAACTTTTTCAGTGCATAAACGACGCTTCGAAGTATTATTTTAGTATTTACACTGGCTATTTAGGTTATCAAGTAAAACTGAGAATTACTGTTTTATGAACTTGACCTTACTGATTCTGCATAATAATTTATCATAGATATTTATCTTTTACAGACATTGAAAATGCTAAAAAAGTGCTCAAAACAATCTTTCAATTTGCAAACTTTTTTTTGTGTAGAGTTGTGAGAGTTAGAGGTACGAAGCGCCCTGGGAGAGAACGCCCATTACTATATATATACACACAAATGCATATTTGATGCATTTGAATGTTCGACAAAGCATTACCTGATCGTTGAGTGCAAGAACAGAAACATAATACTAAGTAAGATGAATGTAAAACTAAAGTATAAATTTAACTAAAAATATTCGTGACAATTACTCGACAGTAATGATTTGTACTACAAGAAGTATGGCAATTACTACATTCGTAACTAATGTAAAATTATATGTCTAATTTTAAATGACTTGTTATCACTTTAAATTGACCGGAAAAGACAGGATAATTATTCGAAAAAAACTATTAATTCGATGCTACAAACGTTTGCATTATGTGAAAATGAAATGAAATACACAAACATCATTTCTATGCATGGAATTCATGTAGCTGGAGAAATTCGAAAAAAACGTCTCAAAATTGCAAGAACTGATTCTACTAGACTCATCAATATTTTTTCTTTTTGTATACCTATATGTTCACGATAACTTCACGTTGACAATAACACTAGACGACCTAACTGCTATTCAATAATTGTAGACTGGGTATTTTGGTAATTGAACAAGCTGATTTTCTGAAACTTGTGTTTTCGAAGTCAAAACAACAGTAAGACTACAGTATGTAAAAAGATTATAACTTATAAAAAATAAGAAATTTTTTGTTATAGTTCTCATGTATAAGTCTGAAACAACATATATGTACCAACGTAAAAATGCAGTAGTAAAAAATAGCTACTGCGTGATAGTTTTGACTTTTTTAAAGTTAATAAATGTGTACTAAAAATTTGCGCACAAAACTAAGAAATTTGTACATTTCACTATTAACTAACGAAATCGAGAACTTCCTAGACACTTAAAAGCAGTTTCCGACAGATCTCAATTTTATAAAATACTTACAGTTCTTTAATCTCTTTGCACATTTCCCAAGACTGTGGCTCGATAGAGCTTATCTTGTTATGTGATAAAGTAAAAATAAGTAGATGATCAAGTCCAAACAGAGCTCCCTTGGACACAACATTTAAAGCGTTATAGTCAAGTTGAAGCTCAATTAGGCTATTAAGTTGCCAAAAAGCACCATCATTGAGTGAGTCTATCTTATTTCTCTTGAGATGTAATTTTTCGAGGCTTCTCATCTCTTTGAAAGTTAATGCTTCTACCTCTCGAAGCTGATTCCGGTTTACTTCCCTAGAACAAAAATCGAATACTTAATTCAACAAAATTTTATTAAATAATGCTTGTTTAACTATTAATTTCTTACTCTAATAAATAAAAACAAGTTGTTACAATAATGCAGTAGCAAATGACTATATAGTTCAAGATATATACTATTTTTTTAAACATCTACGTAAGCATGCATGTGTCAGCACTGCACTGTATTCGCCGAATATTTTTTAGAACCGTTCGGTATACACTTAATATATAGTAGAAACTCGTTTTTAAATAATAAATAACGTTACATAAAAAAAAGTTCAACTACAAGACAGTGAAATAAACTGATAAGATAATATTGTGTTTACAGAAGACACATAACACAGCCAAACTTGTGAATTATAAAATATAATAAACTATCTCACTGATATACAAAGAAAAGGCCCAAAAATCGTTGAAATCGCTCACCATGAAGACTACTTAACGAATTTTGCTTAAACTTTTTATGCTGATTCTGGACATTCCTAGATAGTTTTCATGCAGTTTTTACCTGGGAAAAATTAATAACAATAGTAATAACTAAGCTTGATGCTTTAAAAAAATATGCTAGCTTTTTACTTTCGTTCAGTAGGATTTGCTAGGTGTCGTTGAAGTAAAATCAAAGCCACTCCTAATTGAAGTAAGTGGGTCTGATTATAATATCTTCGAGAAAATTGTCAAGTATCGTAGTCATTTACCGACAGTATAACACAATTAAGTTAGTTGTACAGCTGGGTATTCAGACTATCAACGACATCCTTCTCCGTGCTTGAATTCCACCGTGAACTACCAAGATTCTTGAGTGCCACGAAAAAGTAGGCGTTCTGAACGCTAACGCCTCTAGCTGGGCAAACCTAACACACATGAAGAAAAAACAAACTTTGGCAAATGGGACAGTCTCCGACGGGTAAGCATTACGAACCAATCTCCCCACCTTATATCAGCAAAACAACTGAGTGTGCAAAAAAAAGGTGCTTTACGACACCGACGTCTTCGGCGTAATACCAGGAGATGTTGGGAAAGAGCTCCAAAACTAGTTCCAACGCTTCAGACGTTGTAGTTTTCCTCCAGATTAGTCTGCTGCTACAGTAACAGGCCAGAGAAGATCACCCTGAGATATTGAGGCAGCCACGTTTGCTGGGGACTCAGTCAATAAAGAGATTACTTAAAAAGGTCACGGTCCTTTTTAGGGCCATCGGACGTCAAACTACCTTGCCAACAAACATATATATCAACTTAACAAAGTTGACAAAAAATAGCTTTTAGGGATTATAAAAGTTTCTATCATGCCCACAGTCAAAAGAGGATGAATCGGAGGGAAAACTACAAATGCTTTTAATGTATACAATTTTAGGCGTCAAGAAACTAAGGCAGAACATTAATGGACATTGAAACAGTAGCGTCAAAATGGATGAAAAAAAATATATTGAGTGAAAGATCAGCTTTTCATTATAACCCTACCATTGATTACTTAAACTTTCTAGCTATTTATATAGATGGAATGATATACATTTGTATTCATTGTGGCGAGGGATAAGGCTTTCAGAACTGTGTTGCTTCAGTGATAAAGTATTGTAATTAAAAAAAAAATTAATTATATATTATTTATGAGATTTAAATCTTTACAGTTTTATAAAACAGCCTTCTCTATTTATTATATCTAGAATTGAGAAAGTGCAAATTAACAGCCCTTTCGGACCAACGACTATTTTATGGCATAAGAAACGCTAAGTAACTTTCAGCATTATTATACTTTTCCAAACTTTATTACAGCTTTTTCGACTAAAACTGCATGGATATTGAACAAAATTTGTTCTTATTAGAATAACGTGTCAACACACTACGGTGTCCTACTCAGAAAATCTCGGGACGGGGAGCTGCTTCTAATTAATGTTGTTAAGTAGAGATTCTTTCATCACTTGTCTCCTATTATACATGTAATTTACACACATACAAATGTACTGTATAGCATATCACCAGAATAAGTTTAACATTCTATAGGATAATATCACACATGACAAATGCACACTCACATATACACACACTAGGTCTGCCCCTTATGCACTTCGCACGCGAACCACTGGATGCCAGTGAGAAAATTCTAATATTTGCTTTTATGCACTGAAATCAAATATAATTATGCATACATATTTTTTTGCTTTGCTTCTATTCATCGACTAATAATTGTCTTCAATTATTCTATTAAAACTTTAAATAAACAGAAAGCAATACGTTGTACTTGAAAAAAAAACCACGTGAGATTGATAGAATGCATCCTAATCAGTGATTTCATAAATAATTATTAAATATTAAAATAATCAAATATTAACAGTTAGAAATGGTACGAATAACACTAAAGATTTTTAAAATAAACTGTTTCTAAAAGACACTCAATAAAAAAGGAGGATATCCTGCATGCACAAACAAAAGAGAGGTATTGTCACATATTGCTAATAAAAGCAAATGTTGGTGTTTTATTTTGTTTTAATATTTTTTTGAAGTGACACTTTTGTTGAGATATAACTATTAACTCAACTAGAAAAAAAAATAAAAAAAATTTTTTATTGAAACAAAACACCTGAAAACACACACAAAGATTATACTTTTTCATATTTTGTTATTCTTTGTCGTCTGATCTTTTGAGAAATTCCATTTTCATTTTGACAGATGAGCAATTGCATTGAAATTGAAATCTACAGTAAAATAAGACTCAACGAATCTGCAGTTAAAATTAAAATCAGGGCATGTTGTTTTGCAGAATGAATTGACTTATTCATATATTAAAATTTTCACATAGGTCTTATGGGACATTTTAAATTTTTTACCGTAACTTAAGGCTTTTTTACGCTAATTTCGCTGATTTTATGCCACATCCAATAAACCTAAGGATGTACTGTTTTCAATCCACTTTTTAAGGAGATCTTAGAAGTCGAAGGTTGTTATGTAAAAAAACAATACAAACAGAATTAAAGCTTTGAGCCGTAGATTAATCACTTTAGAGAGTTAAAAAGGTCAAAAGCCAATTTCCTCAATCACCTAGTTTTGGCAAGGTTTCCTGCTGATACATGATAAACAAGGCATAATATCAAGCATTAATGCGGATTTATTCTTATGAATGTAATACAAATTTGAAATTCATTAAAATTTCCCTTCGCGCCTCCACTCTATACAGCACTTTTGTAAAAAAATTAGCATTTTTTTTATAAGTCAAAATTTTTTTTATAAACTTTGTTTTAATTCATATTATACAGAAATATATTCAAAATACAAAAAAATTTATTGTTATCTGAAAAATTTGACTGTACTTTTTTGAAAAATTAAACTAACAAACCTTTAACTGAAGTTACGTAACTGATTTACGTACGTAGAGATAGATTTCTTCCAAATGAATGTATATAATTTAATTATGATTATTACCATATTGTCACATACAAAATGTATTTCTGGTCTAGGAGTTATACTTCGATAAAAACTGTTACACATAAAAAAGACACATAGAAGCCAAACAGTGAAATAAGAGACAAGCTGTCTTTTAGAATAAGATATTCAGAGAAATAAAAGTGTATGTTAATTGTTAGTTAAAACTTTAGTGCAAATTGAGTACTATAAATCTAATTAACAGAAAATATTGGAAAATTCTATCTCTTAGTGGTTTGATAAGGCTCTGTTAACTGACTTATAAAATTGATAAAGCGATAGTTCTATGGTTCCTATAATTATATAAGAAAGAATGGTTTTAATTTATGAATATAAATATATGGCAGTTCAAGCCACCGTTTTCCCCCATAACAGTTTGATGCTAGGTGTGAGGTTCACTGACGTCGCAAAAAAGGGAGAAAAAAATTTTTTTTTTTCTTTTTTTCTTTTTTTCATTATTTTTGAGTGATAAATATAAAGAAAAAATCGGAAAGCACACATAGTTCAGTGTCGAAAGTATACAACATTAGGCAAATTGGAGGAGGAATATATGAGAGATAACCATCCCAAGAAAACCACCAGTTTCACTAGAAGCAGACGAAGTATATGAATTTCATGACATTATACTAGTCCTCACCATCTCATCCCTAAGTACAGAGAAAGTATTTTAATTGTTACTTCAGTAAATTATAGCTCAGTTCAACAGACGATTTCCATAAATAAGCGATACTTTAATCATGATTATTGAGATAAATAAATTGGAGAAGTGTTATTTAATTTTTTGTTTGTGGTTTGTTGTTATTACCGTCATTGTTTCGTTGATCTTCTTGGAGATTGATTCTGAACCATTTGCACTCTGGGAAAAAGCAAAAGCAGAAACACCTGTTCTAATGCTCAAAGTATAAAACTTCAAATTTTGTTTAAGGCAAAAAATATCTTGGTTCAAAAAACTAGGTAACGGAAACATGGTGATGGATAATTTAAAAACCAGGGTTGATAAATTACATTTAAAAAAAGGAAGACTAAAAGTATAGTGGGAAGTAGACAGGGGTTAAAATGAATAAAAATAATAGCTATAAGAAATAGATGTGGAAAGAAATGTGTGAAATTAGGCATCACTACATACTGTTTCAAGATCGGGAAATAAAAATCTCGCCAAAACCCTCCAACGACGACGACGACGGTAGTTTCCGAGCAGACGGCTACGATGAGTATATGACAAGACTAAAACAAAGAGAAGCAAATTTTAAACGGCCCATTCCCTAGGCAACTAGGCATTTCAACTTTCCCTATTACAACAATAGAAATAATAAAAGTTTTGAATACTTGGGCTACAAGAGTTGATAGTCAAAATTTGGGTACGATAAAAACCACTATCTTACATGCAGAAATAACTAAATTAGCAGATATAAAACCAGCAACTAAAAATGATACGCAGTAATTTTTCTACGCCAAAAAATACGGTCCCCTTAGTGTGCATATCAGAAGGCGTCGGAAAGCCAATTTCTCTTGGGGTTAAATTTTTTAATCTCAATTGAAATAATGCTGCAAATATATCGCTATTTCATGGAGCCTTGTGC